AAATAGGAGTCGATGCTCATCAGGGAGATGACCGCCAGGTGTAGGTCGTTAGCGGCCATCTTGGGAGCTGCAGCAGAGCTACTCTCACACATATATATTCATTGTTTACTTTATTCTTGTCTGTACTTTATATGTTCTGTCTGGAGCAGGTCTCTTGTAAATGAGTCCTTGTGACTCAATGAAGCCAACCTGTATAAATAAAAGGTTGAATAATTCATTATGTATTTATTTATATTCATTCAACCTTTATTGATACAGGTTAGTTCCATTGAGTCAATAGGACTCATTTACAAAAGAGACCTGGATTTTAACAAAGAGTGATGACAACAGTGAATAACAAACTGTTTTTCAATTGTAAAACAAACAAACAATTAAAAAAAATTGTATGAATCATTTGTGAATGTGTATTGTTGTTGTTGTTATCAGTGTCTTATTATCTTGTGCTCTGGTCCAGCGTCTTCATGGACGATGTGTGTGAGGGTGGACATGTTTGGAGGTTGCTGTGTTGAAGCTCCATGAATCAGCCTCTCTGCAGCTCTCAGCACCTTCAATGAGCTTTGAGGGAATCACTGAGCTGCTCTTGTTCTTCACAGTTAGAAGGTGGGAGCTCTCGTCAAATGATGATCTCCAGCATCATCTTGTTCATGCCAGGCTTTTCATCCACTGACCACAGACACCTGGAAACATCAGGGGACCAGCACTGTTTAACACATCTGGAAGGAAACCAGTGAGATTTTAATATGATCATTATGATATGATGTTATGTGGGGGAGTGGTGGAGCAGAGGTTAGAAGATGGACCTGTGATTGGAAAGTCGCAGGTTCAACTCCCGGTACCGTCAACATCAAAATGTGGGTGGAAAAGGTGAAACAGCCACACCTGCCTCCGCCCTCATTGGCTCCACCCTGGGCCCCTGAGCAAGGCACTCAACCTCCACCATCTGCTCCTAAACAGGTCTCTCTAGAAAATGAGTTCTCGTGACTCAATGAGACTACCTGGATAAATAAAGGCTATATGAAAAAAATAAAAGTTTAAAATAGAAATACATCATTAGGCCGAGGTTGTGTGTGAGACATGCACGTTCCTGAGAGTGTGTGTGTGACGTGCACGTTCCTGAGAGGCCACAGACAGAGCAGCTCCAGCTTTTGTTGAGTTCCTGTAGTCCTGCAGTTTTCAAGCTGAAATGAAAAAGCATCATGAATATGAACTTTACAGTGTATAGTTACCTGTTCATATAAACACATGGAGGTGTCTCACCTTGTGACTGACAATAAAATATGTAACTTTATGAACTCTAATGAACTTATAATGATGCTCCTA